CCTAGGGTTGAAAAGAGTTAAATGAAAAATATCTTAGCAAACTGAAAATATAAGAGGCTCTTATTTTATATTCTAGCTGTCAATATCGGTAATTTGAGTTTCTAATTTGTACGAAACTATAGACTTAACATTTTAACTTCACAAACATCTAATTTGAATGAGTGCTGCATTCAACATACCACGTGACACATAAAAATTGATGTTTCTGTTTTTTTAATATTTGCTTTTAAATTAAGAAATTGAGTAATGTATAGTACTAAAATTTTGAATGCGAGTCAACAAACAAGACGACATGGCCTGTTACATCTCGAAAGGATTATAATATTACTACAGCTAGCTATTTTATGTATATATAACGTGAGATCTTCATGCTTTTCTAACAGTGATACTGACAGGACACCTAGGTGTGACATTCTAAGTTAGAGACCAAAAAGTATTCAAAGATACAAAATGTTTTAAACAATTCAGTGATTTAATAATACTGTAACGATTACCATTTCTTAAACAATTTCAATTATTCCACAACTAAAAAAATTGATTTACCAATAAATATCTTATGCCCCTCATTATGTTAAAACTTTCCACATATAGTGTTCAGGCCACTACTTTCATGATGGGTAATCATTGGGGCTTAAATTGCATTACCTCCATACCACCAAACTAAACTTAATAAACACTTCACTTATTGTATCACCTAAAAGTCTAAAAACACACATTTTAAATAGACTGATACACTGATGTATCTAATTTAAAACACTACAAGTATTTATACTTTCAACCCCTAAAAACCACAACCTTCTTTATTTAGTAACATATCAAGCATTATACACAGATACTTGCCCTTTTATAAGAAGAAGTTCATCATCACAGATCCTTTCCTGCACAACTTCTTCAGCATCGCCTACCATTGTAGCATCAAAAGCTTCTTCTCCTTCCATGTTAGCTAGAGACTGCAGCAGTTGAGCTAGTAAAAGTAAGGTAATGAATGCACATAAATATATATACCACAAAGTTAAAATCACACAAATACATCTAACACCTCTCATAACTAGAATGTTTCTACATTTTTCTTCAGACCACTACTTTCATTTTAACAAATCACAGAGGCTCAGAATAAAATAAAAAATGAAACTGTTTGCTCATTTTACTTTTCAAATGATAGAAAATGCACTAGTTTCAAAATATCCTATGTTAAATATAAGTTATAAATTAATTAATGTGAACATCTTGGTAGTTGTCACTGAGTAAAGAACCCCACCTCCAGTGGCTTTAGCAATCCTTTTCAGATCAACCTTTTTAACCCTGCGTACTGCTATAGCCCCAGCTTCAACAAAGTACTTTAAACACAAGTCATCAATTCCTCCAGATGTCAAAATGACGTTAGCACCTGCAGCCAGAATTTTCTGAATTCTTTCCTTGGTAATATCAGACTCTCTATAACATAAAAACTACCTGTTACTTTCAATTTATTTGAACTGAAACACATTTAAGTCCAAGTGATTATGTTTTATTAAACATTTACATTTCTTCAAAAAAAAAAAGCTTTCTATATGTGGTGAGTTTTACACAGTGCCTTAATGCTGACAACTTTTATCACTAAGAAAAAAAATATTAAAATGTGCCAAATTGTTGAAGCTCTCTAATGTAAATCATTATTTAACAAGTCTGTGTGAGCATGTGTCCACTTATATCTGACAAATAACTGGACTGACTGTCACCAAACCTGGGATGTACCCATACAGACCCCAGGAAGTGACATGAGGAGGAGGGAGGCAACATTTGAATATGCCCACCTATCCTGAATAGGTACATTAGATAAGATTTCCATTTTTTTAAGACAATATACCTTATATTATTGGCTCAACACTAAGAACGTTTACCATAGAAAATGTAATAACACATGAAAAACAAAAAGACACCAATAAAACTACAATAATATTAATCAACAAAAAGTGCTTCACACCAAGAGGTTACATCCTATTTAAACATTTTTTTGCTTTCTATTTCTCCAAAGCTTAGTACACTAAAATTATCTTCACTCCTAATTTAATACAGAAAATGCCAAATCTCCTGCAAATTGTTTTATGCCAATATTAAAAAAAAAGAAAAAATTCAGTTTAACCCCTTAAAAACCTATTATTGTTAAGCACAGCTACTGGCATTACTTAATTTGATGGTTTAAATGATTTGTGGAGGAGATACATCCAATATTTTGTTGCAAAAATATATTCTATTCCATTAAAAACTGTTTATTTAAAGCACTAGCTTACATGAAATTGTTATTACTTTAACAACACTCAATTTAGGCAGAAACTGGTGTATCTAGGCCACAAATGCCTGTCTACAATACCCCACTGCTGAGGCCAAAATAATAAAATTCAGTTTGTTTGCCTCCTGCTCATCTGGACAGAAAAATTTGTTTAAATAATTTATTTGTGTAAAAATTAAGTTTCTATAGTTGTTTTAACTTATTACTGATCGACATCACCGAAATGTTTACTGTCTAATCATTATACTTCAATCAACAATAGAACTAAAATCAAACTAAAAAGGGGGCTTAAAGTTAGAATAATTAAAGAAAGAAATGATTGCAATAAAAGATCAAAACTATTGAATAAGATTCATGTAACATGATACCGTTTACATGAAACATAAACTAGTTAGGTTTTAGTTATAACAAAGCCACAACATATTTGAAGGATGTGTAATCCTTTTCTAAAAGATTAAAATAATACACCTTTAAAAAAAAAAAGGGTGGGGAATGCTGCAGATAGTTGGTAAACTCATGTTTGTTGGGAACTTCCTTTATTTCTCCACAAATGTTGCATCTAGAAGTATCATCTAATTGGAAACTCAACTATAAAGTGAAAGAAATCTGGCAGTGGTTAATGCTTTCACATCAGTGCTGAATTTGTCCGCTCAATGCACCATTCAGTAAAGAATCATTTCTGGGATTTGAAAAATTACAAAAGGAATGTTTGTTTGAAGAGCTACTTTTATTGTTATATTCTGTTTTTATAAGTTTCCTTGGCACGTGTGCCATACAAAAATATGTATGGGTACACTATAAAATACCTGTTACATTAACATACTGCCTTTAATCAGAAGTTTGATGAATACACAGAAATGTTTATTTACAAAAACACCACTACAGTATCATTGGAACATTCTGTACTAAAGGACAATACATACATGTACACCAGAAAACGGTATGTACTAGTAAATAAATGATTTCTGTTACCAAATAATGCTGTAATGTTTTCATCATTAATGGTAGGAACTGCTTGCAGTGTGAAAAATGTGATAACACATGAAGTCATTAATTAACGTATATTTGTCTAACATTTACACAAAAGGCTATGACATTTCTAAATTAAAACATTTCAGGTAGACGACCTTTATCAGATTAGCCTACTTTACGCTATAAAGCTATATAGAGAAATGATTGTTAGAAGAAAACAATAAGATGATTCTACAGAGGTGCTACATTAGTCATATATTGTTTGGACTGTCTCTTTAAATACACATAAATTAGCTAAGAAATTTAAAAACTGGGAAAAAGTTAAAAAAGAAACATTGAGGTATGTTGTGAAAATAATAATGCCCAGGTACAGGAAGGTCAATAGTAAAATATAAATAAATCCAATCTATGACTATAACTTATAATTAAAACATATGTCACTTAAACTAGGTATATAAAATTGTTATAAAATTTGTATTAATTGACAAACCTTTTCCTTACAGCTTCCAACTTATTTGGGTCAGTGATCAAAACCTGAACCCCAAGGTGCAACTTTGTCTTCTGTAAACTGAAGTCTAGACATGCTACCTTAGCCCCAGTGATCTTTTTAGGCATGGCTAAAAGGAATTAATGAAAATATTAAATTGAAACAAAGACTTTGTTGATAAAATCATATATTCCATGACTGTAAATTCCCACTATTTATAATTTACACCTATGTAGAAAAGTTAACTATGAGAAAAGGAAAATACCAGTTAGATCACACTTATCTAAACTCTGTGATAAAATTGAGAAAAACAACAACAAAAGATACAAAAAATAAATCAATACTATTGCTCTAAATCTTCTTAATGTCAAAAGTCATCTATCACTTTGTACAATACAATAAATTATAAACATTAACCAACTACAGATGTCTACTGTTCATACTACAACTAAAAATCTTGGAAACAAAATAAATCAGTAATCTAAACAAAGCTCAACCTTACATTAACTGCAAAGATATTTACAAGTGTTTGTCAGTTTGTTTTTTAATCATTTTAAGGTTTAATGGAAGTTTCCATACTGTTGATTATTAATTTCTAAACTTAGAATTAACCTTTACATTTCTCTGGTCTTTTACCTGCTAAAGTAGCCTTTAATATTACATAAACATTTCCTATTCTGTTTAATGAGATTTTAATATCAAATTATTTTTTTTTTACCATGCTGCTCAAAGGCTATATGTAACCTGATAAATTAAGAAACTAAATAACACAAGCACTTTCATCAAGTAGATATTCCTCCTCCCAATGTAATAAACCTATAATAAATACAGAACTGAAGCTTATTCAAACATTCCACAGAAACAAGCTAAATAACTTTATTCAAATCTTGGAATGTAAAATAAGAACTCAGGTTAAATTATTTTCAAAATGTAAAACATAACACTATAGTAACTAGTAGTGAAGTCATGTATGAGACATTAATAAGGGAACTACCTTGGGAAGCTGCAGTACAATTCAGAGCATAGCCATGCACTAACACACTTTCTCTTGTACTCCGCCCATGGGCCTTCAAAACATTAACAGCCCTGATGGGATATTTGAAGCCACCTTTACCATCTGATGTTCTGATGGCCATTGCTGCATCAACTACCATGTTAGCAAAGAAATCTGAATCGCTAACTCACTGTTAAGGATAACTTTTGAAGATTATGTGAAAATACAGATAGTTAAAATTACTATACATGAAAGAGAAATCCATTAAGTACCTACCAAATGACTTTCACCATTTACATTCCTTTGTATTTTTAGATTTTCTCACAAAGACTTTCAGTGAATGAAATATGTAAACACTACACTGCCTATACGAGGAACAAATAATAATGAGAGTAAATTAAATCTATTTCACAATCTTCAATGTTTGTGTTTTAGAATTTTCATAACTACACCATTTAAAAATAAACTGCTTGTGTCATATTCTTCTGTCTGCTGAAATAAATTGAACACATTATGATTATGTTAGGTCTCTTGAAATTTTGCTTAAGTACTTAAAAGATATGTTTATCTACTAAGGCACTCCACATGTTTGGTTAATTTACAACCCCAGGTATTTAATATTAAATTAAACTATGATCCATTATATATTTTAGCAAGTTTGTACTACAGAGACAACATTAAAGATGATAATGAAAAAAATATTTTTGATTTGGTGACTACCATTTAAAACTCAACTCATCTGCCAGTTATGCCTAGTGCTACAAATTTATCTGAGTCCACATTTTGGTTAATAAAACAAATTATTACAAGAGTAAATTAAAACAATTTTAAGTCCATGTTCCTAAAATTAATACAGTGTGTAACAATGCAGCACTATTGAGGTTTGGAAACAGATTATCATAAATTTCCTACTATTTAATTTAGAAATGTTTTATGATTTATCTAAATTTATTTTGTGAAAACAATGTCTTTAAAATTTTCCATCACTAAAACTAGATTTTGAATCAGCAGTTAATTTAATTGTTTCTCATATATCAGTTCTTTAGTACCGATGGAGTTGAAAATTTTTTTCAAAAGACTAACCTGTGTACATTATATTAAAATTATTTTGAATAGGCACACTATCAAGTCATGTAACAATCATAGCAGATATTAAATTATAGTGAAATAGCATGCATTAGAACTACCATATTGGCCAAATTATAGGGCAATCTCAAATATATTGCAACCCCCATTATCAGAAACCATGGGAAAGAAAAAAATTGCCATAACGCCCTTTTTTAGGTCCATGAAACGCCTTGATTGTGGAACGTGCATTAAGGAGTTCAGTCTTTTGTTTCTGCCAGTGTCTCATTATTTTCAGTTACACCAAATTTTCTAGCAGCGGTACAATTGTTCATCTTTTCTGCCTCATGCACTACCATAATTTTCAGATTTGCATCATAACACAGTCATAATCCTTGGTTAATTTGACAATTTCTTGTTCCGTCTTTCAATGTGGTCACTCATTTTTACACAATAGTCTATCACTAAAATGAAACTCGCAGATAACAATCATTATAAAATTTAAAACAAGCATAGTCAAAGCAATAATGCACAGGCAAAATCAATACTATAACTGAACACCCTCCAGGTGGATTAGTTGCAAGAATTAGCGATGACCTTGAGCAAACATCTGGCACGCATGTGCAGATGGATGTTATCTGGACATTCAGGAATGCAACAGGCTAGATTAGGGGGAAGGGAACTATGGTTGGCCACGAATATAACGTGACTATGAATTTTACAGTCTAATTATTTATAATAAAACATTGCCTTATAATCAGGCCAATACAGTGCATTTTGACATTTTGCAGTTAGTGATGTCACCAAAAACTGATAAGTTTGGGAAGGGTATGTAACAGCACTTTAAGGCAAAATAGTTTTACACTCGGATCATAAAGATATGTTCAGAACTGGGATTTAGAATTTAAGAAGAGAAAATCCCTTGTAATTAATGAAATTCAAAAACAATGGAATATGAATCAATTTGGGGTATCAAGTATCATCCAGAGAGTGACCTATAACAAGTCGTACTACAACTGTAACAAAGTAATATGTGGTATCTTGTAATGGGAGAGAATCCATGAAACAGAAAAGAGTGGCAAAAACATACAAGAAGGATCTTCATCTGGAAAAGCAATGTAAGTCACAAGTACACAAGTTGTTTCTACAACTGGTGAATGAAATGAATATTTATGCTATTCTCTAACAAATTACTCAAGTCACCTGTTGTAGCATTCAAATTCCTGTGGGATCAAACTGCTGAAATGAGTGTTAGGAAACTGTTGTCCTTGCACACTAGTCAGATTATGGAAAGCATACAAGAAGTGGTGTGCTTAGAACACAACATTCTTATGATGGAGCTTTCTACTATGAAAATTATGCTGCAAGGCCATTGTCAAGATGCACAGCTGCCAGATAGAGCATGACCAGACGTGCAAACGTGTGTTGTAACATTGTGACAAGAATATGTTAATATAACGTTCAAGTTCTGTATACCATTGATCAAATGAAATTAGCAGCTCTTTTCTATGTAAAAAATTAACAGGCAATTTCCCAAGTACAGTTTTAAATCAAACAAACTCTTAACACATACGTATATTTTTTTACCCTTTCCACTGAGAAATTACAGGGTCAACAATATATTGAATATCTGAACACTATCGAGCATATTCACTGAACTAAAAAATTAGTGCAAGTAATTGACTCAAAAAGTAGGCTCAACCTTCCATAAATGCAAGATTATGTAAAATATAGTGCTTCACAAATTTACACAAATGTTAGATTTTTTTGTAACTTAATTTTAGGCAATATTTTGCATAAAATTCCACAAGTTTCAATAGAACATTTGACACTAAACACTTTGAGTTTTATCATACTCAACTTTTCAAACTTAATTTAAATAAATAATTGCAAATTAATTTTTTTATTTAGAATGTTGACTTGTTTAAATCATATATCAGCACATAGGAAATAATAAGTGCTTATTTCAGAACTTTAAAGGATATATTTACATAGCATTCTTGAAGGTAGTCCTCAAACTCTTACTATACAGTGTCAATCAATGTGACCAACTTTGTAACTACAAAGTAATTAGTTTCTATACCATAACTTTTAATACCCTTTGTGTATCTTCACAAAATTTGGCAAGCTTTCAATAAACATTACAAGTCTTCTTTTTACATAGAAATTCTGATTTTTTAATTAAGTATTTTTACTAAAGATTTTTCCATGAATATAGAGCCAGTAGTTTTCATCTTATGGTTAAAAATACTGAAAATTTTCAAATTACATTTCTGTGACATCTGAAACCTCCTCTTCAGTAACACTTTATATTTTATCTGTTATTTCTTCTACCCTAACTGTAAACAAAATTCGTCAATCTGATCGACCTTGTAATCACCACAAAAATACAAAATAAATCTAAGTTACCCCCTTTTTTTTCTTTCTAGAATGACTGCAGATTGTAACAGAAAACTACAATTCTTTATCCTAAATAGCTTAAGGGTTTTAACAGTCTACATCTGTTCTATACATAATTTTGTTTTATTGTCCTTTAAAACTTGTGTGGCAGGATTATTAGTTACATGGTTCAAATCACTCAGTGAACACGTATTAGCTCACTTTATGGTATTGAATGACTAAATAGACAAGATGCTAATGAGTGTACCTTATGAAGAATTTTTATAACGATTATTTTTCATTATCATACCTAATCTAACCTAGCAGTTTCCAACTTTTGCATTTTAGTTACTTTTATAATAATAATAATAATAATAAT